AACATTGTTTTTTTTTTGGGGGGGGGGGGGGGGGGGCAAGCAGCTGGTCTTGCCTAGGGAGCAAAATAGTCTAGCACTGGTCCTGAATGCAAGTTAAGAAAATAACAGTGGTACTTTGTATCTCTCTAACCCAAGTCTGAACAATGTTTATAAACACTGTGTTAAGAGGTCTGTTTTTGACAGTGGCAATAGTAATAGCTGCTGTAATTTTGACAGCTGGTATTTGCTGGCACAGTGATCAGAGAATATAACTTAGTGCAGCATCACCTGTAGCAGTCCTTGTCCCTATAAGCCAAGCAAACTTAGCCTGCTGGTATATGACTGCCTCAAGCAAAGGATCGGTCCAGGCAGTAGGCAGAAACATGGTCAATAAACCGACTAGGGTCAGTACAGACAGCAGGCAACACTGCACTGGTATGATGGTAATCAGAAACACTGTTGCTGGCTGCACAGATTTGATATACACTGGCATTTGCTGTAGCAGCAATCAGGAACACTGTTGCTGCTTAGACTTGTCTGGTAATACTGGGACTGGTGTGGTGGTGATCTGTAATACTGTTGCTGGCTTTCACTGGTCTGGCAACACTGGGACATTTGTGATGGAGATCAGTAACACTTTTGCTGGCTGCACTGGTCTGGTAACACTGGGACTGGTGTGGCAGAGATCAGGAACACTGTTGCTGGCTTACACTGGTCTGGCAATACTAGGGCAGGTGTGGCAGCAATCAGGAACACTGTTGCTTGGTTAAACTTGTCAGGTAACACTGGGACTTTTGTGGTGAAGATCAGTAACACTATTGCTGGCTGCACTGGTCTGGTGACACTGAACTGGTGTGGCAGAGATTAGGAATACTGTTTCTGGCATACACCAGTCTGGTGACACTAGGACGGGTGTGGCAGCAATGAAGAACAGTGTTGCTGGTTTACATTGGTCAGGTGACACTGGGACTGGTGTTGTGGTGATAAGGCACACTACTGATGGCTTACACTGGTCTGGTGACACTGGCACTGGTGTAGCAGATATCAGGAACACTGTTGCTGGCATACATTGGTCTGGTGACATTGGGACTTATGTGGCAGCTATCAGGAACACTGTAGCTAGCATACATTGGCTTGGTGACACTGGACACTGCTGGTGATTCAGCAGGGACTGGACCAATTTCAATCAGTGTGTGGCCATTCCTTTTCACTGTTATCCATGATAAATGCTTAAGGGTCCCTGCTCAGGCTGTCAGTTCTGATGAGTTTGATGCCACTGACTACTGAAGCTGCAGGCTTAGGAAAGGTCTGTCGAGACTCAAATCATGCTGCTGAAATGGGAAGAGCCAGCCTGACTGCTGCACACCTAACCTGGCCCGAGTAGTAAGCAGGTAAAAGCAACCTCAGGTCAAATCATCCAGACCATGCCTCCAACATGTTTCACCCCACCCCATCTCTTAATTATGGAGAACCATGATTAATCCCCAGGGGCGTGGTGAAACATGTTGGAGGCATGGTCTGAATGAATCAAGCTGAGGCTGCTTTTTCTTGCTAACCACTGGGGATGGCAGCCAAGCTAGCTCTTCCCATCTCTGTCGACTGTTTAGTTGACTTTTGTTGAATAGGAATGTTGGAAAAATCTTCTTGATCAGTGGTTGCAGCCACTGATCAGTTTATTCTGACTAAGGCTGGGCTTGATGTTCAAGTCCAACTTGAATTCAACTCAAACATCGGCGGTTCGTGTGTTTGGCGCTCACACACGAACGGTAAGGGCGTTGGGCGGGCTGTTTGTCCACCGCGCTCCACAATGCACTGCACTCTGACAATGCATTGTGATTAGCCAAAGCAATGCACCTGACCACAGGTCAGGTGCAATGCTTTGGCCAATCACAGCACATGATGACATCACAAGGGGGTGTTAAGAACTATCAGGATGGCGCAGCTGTCAGATGGCGGGAGCCAGCGTCAAGACAAAGGGGATTTTTTTCTTTTTTCAGGTCATTGGTGGTGGCAGGCATCATGATTGATGTTGGATCTACATCGGGAGACAATTTGTTTATTTTTGTTTTTAATAAAGGGCTTGTCAAAGGCTGTCTTCCCTAATTTTTTACACTACACTTTTTTTTTTTTGTGAATGAGTAGCAGTACCATGTACCCCATACTCATTCACATGGGGGGGGGGGCTTGTTAAAGGTGGCTTCCATATTCTGATAAGCCCCCCCACCCACAGACCCCCACAACCATTGGCCACGGTTTTGTTGAAGAGGCCCTTGTCCCCATGAACATGGGGACAAGGTGTTTTGGGGGGGAGCCCCCCTGCCCCAAAGCACCCTCCCATGTTAAGGGCATGTGGCCTGGTATGGTTTAGGAGGGGAGGGCGCTCGCTCATCTCCCCCTTTCCTGACCTGCCAGGCTACATACTCGGATAAGGGTCTGGTATGGATTTTTGGGGGACACCCATGCCATTTTCTTTAAAATTTTGGCGTGGGGGTTCCCCTCAAAATCCATACCAGATCCGAAAGACTTGGTATGGATGAGAGGGGGGACCCCATGCTGTTTAAAAAAAATGTAATTGCTGGGCATTGCCGACAATTCTTTTGACATTCAGCTGCCAGGGGGAACCCCACTGACAGCTGAAACAATAAAGAATTTTTTATTACTAAAATACCGCATGACTTAATATAACTCATGCGGTATTTTAGTAGCTGTAGCTTTAGTTAGCAGTTGAACTTTTGGTTTGAATGTTTGACCACGAACCGAACAGGGGAGTGTTCGGCCCATCACTAATTCTGACAGTGAAGAGTCCTGCTGTGAGAATTCAGTGTCCTGAAGGGTGGGATTCCTCCATCCACCTCATTTGTGTGGATGCAGGAATCTGTCCATTTGTTTTTTCTAAACAGCCCGCTGACTGAATGAAAAAAAATACTAACCATCTATGATCTGCTTAAAACCTAGTTAATGTCCTGGGGACCCATCTACATTCTTCAATTTCCTGCAGAAAACCAGGAGACAGCAAAATTCATCAAATATACAGTATGACTATGTCTATCACTGTACAGTGGAAGATGCACTTATCAAGGTCCTACCTTTCCTCAGGGCTTGTGCTGCTCCATGTGCTGGCATCCATCTTAGGTCTGCAAAGCATTGTGGGATCCTTTATGCTTTCAGCCCTCTGCAGCTCCTCCTAGGAGGTGGCGGCTTATCACATTGCATTCGTGTCCTGTCTGTTGCACAGCAGCAAGCTCCTGTTTAGTTAACTCTTTGCTCTCCTGGATACCGATTCGGCTTTGGCTAAGACTCCTCCTGGCTTCTGACCCCTGCTCTGGCAACCATTCTTCCTGGCTTCTGACCCCGGCTCTGGCGACCATTCTTCCTGGCTTCTGACCCCAGCTCTGGCGACCATTCTTCCTGGCTTCTGACCCTGGCTTTGGCTACGATTCCCGCTGGTTCTCGACGTGTTTATCCTGGAAGGCGACCTCGGCAGGAGAACTTCTGTCCTACCAAGTCATTCGCTGTTGCTGTCGGACTTGCATAGACTCTTGCCTTGTTTCTGTGTAAATAAACCTACCTTTAATTGCACCTCCTTGTGTGTCTGGCTCCTCGCTCCCTGACAGCACTGAAGGCAGTTGAAGTTTGATTGGGTGGCTCATGCCATTTAAGACAATACAAAGTGGTTTCTCTTTGCCTACTGTATGACTTTTCAATGATAACCAAAGTAATGGGGGGATCAAATGCATATCTTGCCTTGGACCCCATTCTGCCCTCATCTTCTTTGCTTACTTGAATTGTTCAACATAATATAACAATAATGGGTTTTCTTTTCTCCATTGGCCAGAGTTCTCCCCAATTCATGTCCTGATGACACAGGGTATCCTCAGTACAGAAAGCGAGGGAACTTTTCCTAAAGGGGAAACAAACAGAAAATAAATTATAGAAAAAGTTCTAGCCCTTCTTTCTCCATTCACAACATGGAGCCGAGATTAAATATATATATATGCTTTATACACAGCTATAATTTGTAGAACATGACCAAAATACAGTTATGAATCACACATAGTAATCATCTGCAAAGATATCAAAGAGGAGGGAGGAACACATACTGTACTTGTCTCATTTATTTATTAGACCACTGACCACCTAAGGAACACATTTTAAGATTTACAGTTTGCAAAATCAGTGAAGTACTTGAAACCTGGTCTAAAATTTCTCTTTCGTTGTGAATATCCATTGCTTCCACAAAAGACCTATATTATTTCCAAGATAAAAATCCAAGACATGCATTAAGACACACTAAATCATTTTGGGTAGAGTTATTTAAGCATAATGTGCAGTTCAATTGCTAAGTTAGGCTTTAAGAATAATAGTCACTTCAAATAAAAGCTCCATAAAAATTAAAGCGCTATTAGTCACATTAAAAATATAGAGGTCAAGGAGGCTTTCATAAAACATTGTGGTCTTAGAATTCTTATAACATAAATGTTTTTTCTTTTGCATGTGTATGGTTTTACAAGCATTTAACGCAGTGACATGTGGATGTTGTACGGACTGAGCTGTTTTACATCAAATTTATAGAGGTTGTTTGAAGGGAAAGGAAAGCTAATAATAGAGCTATCAAGGAGAAGAGTATTTTTACAAAATGTTAATGCAGTTCACCTTCTTGTGTTATATACAATGCCAAGGGACATACGTTTTCCTGGGCAAATCAGAGATTTACACAGGCTACAAAAAGACCTAGAAGCCAACCACAGCCTTGAAAACCAAAATGAAGAAAATTACCCAATCATCCTGCTGATTTTGGTTTCTGATGATGATCTTAAAGTGTAGTTAAAGTGTTAGTAAACCCAGGACCCTGCATTCACTATATCTGGTCTCCCACAGTACATAGAACATGGAAGTGCAATTATTTTAGTTTAATATAAACTGCTAAATACCTTTTCTCATCAGCAGTTAGAGCAGTCTTGTGGCTTCTATCAGTGTCCAGCCCAGCACTAGCTAAAGCTTGTAGGATGAGTTTTTTCTTTCTGCTCTAGGAGGATGGAAATCCCTTGACCTCTGTCTGGACAGTGCTAATTGGCCCTGTGCTGATCACATGCGCTCTCCCAAGAAACAAAAAACCTCTCTAGCAATATACACCAAACTGAGCATGTGCATGCCTACGGTTCAGTCTGGAGATAAGTGGTTGTCGCTTGAAAAAGGAGAGGAAAAGAGAAGAAGGGATCAAACAGCCTTTTTACACAATGCAGAGGATTAACTCCTTAGGTTCCACAGTGAGTATAACAAGCATGCTTTACTGCATATACAGACTGATTTTACTGTCGTGGGTTTAGTAACACTTTAAACCCAAGAGCAAATGATCTAATATATTGCAGCTTACTAACCTTTACTTGTGGCTGCATCAGTTTGTTTTTTCTCTGGGGTTTTATTTTTGTATTATTTTTATCAGGTGATTCTGTCAGTAACACACTGCCATTTCCCAGGGTGACAACACTCACTAACCACTCTAAATTTATGAAGAGCAACATGTTTACACTGCTGACCAACACTCCCCCCAGGGCGGACTGACCATTCGAGCACTCAGGCACTGCCCGAGGGCCCTGGGTCAGTAGGGGGCCCCCATGAAATGCCCCTGGTACTTTTTTATAGGCTTTGAGTGTGGGCAAGACACAGGGGCCCCATGATCCCCTATTGCCCGGGGGCCCATGAGTTGTCAGTCCGCCCCTGACTCCCCCAAAAGTTCACAGAGGTAAGTTTGCAGATTGCGAAGATAAAGGGGTATTTGTCCCCACTGATACTCTATAACATTCTGATATATGGGTTTTATTGCTGTCTGTGTCCCTGCTGGGTATTTTCACTACTCTATTTTTCCTGGTCATATGAAATACAAAATTTGACATTCATCAAAATTTGACATTCATCCCTGGAACAGGTGATAAGGGGAAATCACCCACTCATTGTATTATATCTTTGAAGGGGCAGCATTTTTACCCTAGGACAGAAAGCGTTTTAGGACTACAGAACTCCGCCCAATCTCCTCATCTCCATAACACAGAGTGAGGCGTTCTGTTATTCAAAGAGAGCACTGAACAGAGATGAGAATAACTGATAACCACAGTGCCCAGGCAGAGACCACATGAAATTGTTACCTCCCTAGATTTCTAGCAGGATCAACAAATATTATTTGCATGGATAGAACACATATAATAAAATGCTTTCAACTGTATATACTGTATATGAAACCAAAATTTGATTATTAAAGTAATAGTAAAGGATAACATTTTGTTTTTAAAAAATAACAAACATATGTGCTTGTAATGGTTTTGCAGAGAGCAACCCTGATCCTCCTCGTTGGGTTCCTGTCAGCAATCATGGCCCCTCATCCCCCCACAGAGTGCTCACCTTAGAAAGCCACTTGCTATCAGGGTACTCATATGTGCTCGTTCCAGAACCAGCTCTGTGTGTCAATAGGACACACAAAGCGTGGTTCAGCCCCGCACCCACTCCCTCCTCACTGACTGTGATTGACAGCCAGTGAGGAGGGAGCCAATGGCTACCACTGCTTTGTCTTAGCCAGTGGAGAAGGAGAGTGCTGAGATACAGTAGCCTTTGCTTTTATGCACATCGCTGGATTGAGATCAGGCTGAGGTAAGTATAAGGGTGCACTGGGGGGAGCTACTTACAGAAAGTTTTTTTACGGTAATGCAGAGAATGCATTACCACTTCAGCCTCTATGACATACAGTTTGAATGGTAATACCCAGATGATCCCTACAGCTAGAGGTATCATCCTGGTATTGTTGGTTTCAGGTGGCAATGTTTTTTTGTAAAAGCAATCCTAGTGGCTAATTAGCGTCTGGATTGCTTTTACAGGTGACGGAAAGGGAGCCCTCCCTCCACCGCCTTCCTCCGCTTTCCCGGGCTCTCCCAACCCTGACTGGGACTGCAGCCGCCAGTTCCACCACTGGCCATAGAGACGATCAAAGACCAGAACATCCCTGATCATTTCTATGGTTTAAGAAACTGGAAGAGACAAGTATTTTGTCACTTCTGGTTTCGTTGGTTGTACACAAGCCATAACTGGCCTAGGAAAAGCATTGCATTAAACCGATCTTGGTTTGAACAAACTGATGTTGTTGATCCCTTGTGATAGCAATAGACTTGAAGTGGGAAGTGGTAACCTGTAAAGACTTTTTAAGTGCCGCCTATGGATAATTTAATGCGCGTAGTTTGTCACCATTCCACAGGCATGTGCAATTTTAAAGCATGACATGTTTGATATCTATTTACTCTGCATAACATCATCTTTTATATTTTACCAAAACAATTGGTATTTTAATGTGTTTGTGTGCACTAAAATTCATTAAAGGATAAGTTCACCTTTTGCACAAAAATAATACATGCACATTTTTTTGTAGGGAAAAATAATAAATGAACGTTTTTTGTAGGAAAAAAATGTGCATTTATTATTTTTGTCTGCAGGAGCCTGTAAAGCATTGCACCAGCGATCAGCAGATAGCTGGTGACATGCAAGACTCCTGCAGACCTGTCAGTAAATCTGCTTGCCCATATGGGATGTATGAAGGCTGTCAGGACTTGTAGTTTACAGTGTGGATGAAAAACATGGCTGCTCTGTTTTTTTAAATACTGACAGCTAGTATGGGAACTTCTTCCTGTACTTTTGTCATAGGGAGGGGGGGCAGCAGGCGGCGGCTGCAGCATTGGGATCATGTTACAAGTTCCACCCTAAAAACGGGGTGGAACATGTAAAATGTTCCCAAAGGTGAACATATCCTTTAAAGCATTTTTTTTTGCACAATGTGACATAAAAAATTGCAATACTCACCTCTAGGGCCGCTGCTTAAAAATATACGTTTGTGGGTTCTAAGTAATATTCAAGCAAAAATACTGATTTTTACATGTAACCAAAAAGTGTCAATATAAGTCTGGTCTTCAAGTGGTTTAGGTGAAAAACCTCCTGCCTTTAGAACAGCTTCAGAGTTTACATACACTTCTATAAACACCACCACATACTATTCTACAAAAAGATCATATCTCTCTCTGTGTTTTTTTTTTGCTAGTCTTGCTTTATGAAGCTATTGTACAAAATATTAGTGATGAAAGGTCTCATACAAAGTCCTCTGTTGCTGAGTATATTTTAGAATGCTTTCTATAATTACAGAAGTTGTCCATTAAAGGATAAGTTTACCTTTTGACAAAAACAATAATTGCACATTTTTTTGTAGGTACATAAATGTGCATTTTTTTTATTTTTTGTTGCAGGAGCCTGTAAAGCATTGCACCAGGGATCAGCAGATCACTGGTGCCATGCCGGTCTCCTGCAGACCTGTCAGCGGGACGTACAGGGAAGCAGATACAGTGAAGGAAATAAGTATTTGATCCCCTGTTGATTTTGAATGTTTGCCCACTCACAAAGAAATGATCAGTCTAAAAATTGAATGGTAGGTGTATTGTAACACTGAGAGACAGAATAGCAACAGAAAATTCAAAAGAAATGCATGTCTAACAAATTATGCACTACTTTGCATGTTCATGAGGGAAATAAGTGATGGATCCCCTTCACAAAACATGACTTAGTACTTGGTGGCAAATCCCTTGTTGGCAACCACAGAGGTCAGACATTTCCTGTAGTTGGCCACCTGGTTTGCACACATCTCAGGAGGGATTTTGGCCCACTCCTCTTGGAAGATCTTCTTCAAGTCATTAAGGTTTGATGGCTGACGTTTGGCAACTTGAACGTTCAGCTCCCTCCACAGATTTTCAATCGGATTACAGTCTGGAGACTGGCTAGGCCACTCCAGGACCTTAATGTGCTTCTTCCTGAGCCACTCCTTTGTTTCCTTGGCCGTGTGTTTTGGGTCATTGTCATGCTGGAACACCCATCCACGACCCATTTTTAATGCCCCAGCTGCGGGAAGAAGGTTCTCACGCAAGATTTGACGGTACATTGCTCCGTTCATCATCCCTTTGATGTGGTGCAGTTGTCCTGTTCCCTTAGCAAAAAAAACAACCCCAATGCACAATGTTTCCACCACCATGTTTGACAGTTGGGATGGTGTTCTTGGGGTCACAGACAGCATTCCTCCTCCTTCAAACAAGGCGAGTTGATCCCATAAAGCTCGATTTTGGTCTCCTCTGACCACAACTTTTTCAACCAGTCCTCCTGTGCAATCGTTCAGTGACAAATTTCAGATGGGTCTGGACATGTGTTTTCTTGGAATTTTGTGTTGCTATTCTGTCTCTCAGTGTTACAATACACCTACCATTCGATTTTTAGACTGATCATTTCTTTGTTAGTGGGCAAACATTTAAAATCAGCAGGGGATCAAATACTTATTTCCTTCACTGTATACTGACAAGAAGAATCAATGAACTGCAAGCTGACAGCTGCTAAGGGTGTTGGGACTTGTAGTTCATTCATTCACAGAACTTTTTTTAAAAAGTGACAGCTACTACAGGGAACTTCTCCCCGTACTTCTGTCACAGGGAGGGGAGATCGGGCAGTGGCTGAAGCATTGGGAACATTTTACATGTTCCACCCTAAAAATGGGTGGAACATGTAACATGTTCCCAAGGGTGAACTTATCCTTTAACAAGGAAAAGTGATACACATATTCAAACAGTCAGACATACTGTATTTGTTTAAAGCATGAAGGAATGTTGTATTATCATGGCAACATAATTCAGTACATTTAGTGCTATTTAATATGTTTATTTAAATTAATACTATTGATTTGTAGTGCTTTATATCATAAACTCAAATCTGTCTCCAATGGCCCCAGTAGTAGTTCCCCTGGCTGGCTGCTTGGTGTTAGCTGTGATTTTAGAAGTGGCAACCTTGCCTTGGTAGAGGGGTACCTTGGGAAGCAGGTGAGAACTATATAGTTTGGGGAAGCTAGTAGGTTAATAGCCATTACTATTAGAAGTGGTCACTTGCATTCTCTGTGATGGATGATCAAGGCAGGATGTAGTTGCAGGGCTTTTACCATAGTGCTTCTACCTTGGTGGAAGCAAGGACTACTCACAACCCCCTGCTTGGGATGCTGCTGGGATTAGGCCCATTTGTAATGCCCTGGGTTTAGGCCCCTGTAACCTTAGTTTTTATCCCCACGTTTTGCAGACAGTCCTGGTACATACTGTATTTGTGCATGGAGGAATCAAGGTTAGGGCCCTGTAATCACAGTTTTTGTCCCAAAGTTTTGTACACAGAATGGGGACCATATTTTTTTTCATAGTGGAAGTGTAGGGTAAGGCACAGATGTGGCCTCTGGAAGTTCCCCTTGTTGGCCACTATATGTCCTCGTAAGTGGGGT